GCTCACAAATCTCCGAATATGAAAGATCCAAAGTCACCTAAACGATTGTTTCGTTCTGGTTTTGAATCCATCAATAACAAAGTGAATGTCTACTTCTTTGTTAATAACTTACGTTGCATGGAAACGTGAAAAAGTGGCATTTCCGTTTCGAAAACGTTTCGAAAACGGAAACGCGAGGAAATGCGATGGAAACGCGTTTCCTAAATATCCCGATTTGGAAACGTTTTGGAAACGCTGCCGGAAATGTGTTTCCGAAATTGGAAACGCAAATTTTGGTTTTTTTTTAAATTAATTTTGGTTTTTGAAGCAAATTAAATAAACATTTTGAAAATATAGTGATTTGTTTGATATTCTTAATAAGTTTTAAAACCTAATTATTAAACACTAATACATTATTTTTCTCTAATCGTCANCNTAACCTAAAAACGTAGAANANTCNAAGAGATAAGNAANNTATTTTTTTCAATTACANTAGATTTGTTATTGATTATTGAAATTGTGAAGTCGTATACAAAAACAAAGTGTTTTTTTGTTCTAAGTCGGATTAGATTTGTGTTGTTTCAAATATTTTAAAACTATTGATAATTTTGGTTTCATGATATATATATATATACTAGATTCTCACCCGTACTTTGTGCGAAAACATTCGTTTTTATGTTGTAAACTATAATTTCGAATTGTGTCGTATATAATATGTTCAAAGTGTGATATGTATTGTTTTAGTTTGTAAGTAGAATCGATTATTTTGAAAAAGTATGATTGTTTTTTTTAGTTTGAAGGTAGAGAATAAGTATGTTAAGTACTGAAACAATACACCGGATTTAGAGACAAAGTTTTCAGCTTTAATTTCATGGGTCATTTGTAAACACAGACCTTGAGATCCCTATGAAAAACTCCCTTGTTATGACAGTAGCTGATTCCATCAATCAACTGCTGAAACATTTTTCTTCCTTCAGTTTCCGAAAGCTTTCCTTTCGAGACCTAAGACAGCAGAACATACTTTTAGACTAAAAATTATGAGGCTATAGAAAGTTACAAACAAAACTTTGAGTAACTAACAAAAGTTTTGCTAGCCAAGACCTGCAAGTGGACAATAAAGAATTAGCATGGGAGCCAGCTTTTGGAGAAGTTTTCAATTCCTCTTAAATTCACGTCATAAGACTACAAAAATCATAAATCAGCACAAAAAAAAAACAGTTGGTTCAAGCTACAAACTAACTTTGATTCATGAATTTAAAGATAAAACAATTCGTTCTCCATTTTACCTCCTTTATCATCATTCTAGCTTCTGGTNTCTGCAACATCGAGAAAAAACCAACAATTTTAGTCAAAACAACACACATTCAGACAAAAACTAAAGCATATTGGTGATTCAACGAAGCTCTTCATAATTGGTGATAAGTCTCGGTGGCTATCTCAAATTGTCTTACAACGGAGTCCGAAATTACCTGAGATTNATCAGAAGGCTTGGAGACAGAGTAATCACCGAAAAGGAGTAGACTTTCTACTCAATACAAACACAATCTCANCTCAGTTTTGGTGACTCTCGATCGAAGAAATCAATGGGACATCTGTAAGGATCTGGTTCTGAATCCGAATAAGAAACCCGACCGAGTGAGAGAACAGAGGTCTGAATCCGGTTGATTAATATATCAACCGAATAAGAAACCCGATCTATTAAGTTACGAATCAACCACTNTCAATCAATTATCTTCCGAAACAATGATGGGTTTGATCCAATCGAGAGAGATCGAGATATCGAAAAAAGAAGTCTGCGAAAAAAGAAGTCTGCGATCGAGAGAGATCGAGAGATCTTCTTAAGAGATCGAAAAAAGAAGATTTTGTTCGAAAATTAGCATGAAAATTGGC